GTCTTGCATGTATTGCAAACATGCAGAATATGCATGTAAATTGCAAACAAATCTTTCCATGAACAATAGACAATGTCAGAATATGCAGAAAAATGCAACATCGTATTGTAAATATAAAAATGCAGAATTTGGAGGTATTCGCTAAAAAAACATGCTCATGATTAGCAAAACAAACATGATCAATAAAAACTGACAGAGTATTAGAACAAATGCAATATCTTCTGTTGTATAATGCCGTTTTTGGAGGTTACCATCCTGTTTAACCTACATGTCATTATCGTGGGGAATACCGTGGGAAAATCCCCGACGGGCATTCTAACCCTATTTATTTAGTCCTGAATCCCCCTGAAACCCCAAAATTCTTGACGCATTTTCGACCGTCCCGTGTCTTCCATGTACTGCAAACATGCAGAATACGCATGTAAATTGCAAACAAATCTTTCCATGAACAATAAACAATGTCATGATATGCAGAAAAAATGCAACATCGCATTGTTAATTTAAATATGCAGAATATATAGGTATTTGCAAAAAAAAACATGCTCATGATCAGCAAAAAAAAAACCGGATGATCAAAAAAAAAATGACAGAATATAAAAAAATGCAAATCGTCTGTGGATAATTGCCGTTTTTGGAGGTACCATCCTGTTAAACAACATTTCATTATCGTGGGAAATACCGTGGGAAAATCCCCGACGGGCATTCTAACCCTATTTATTTAGTCCTGAAACCCCTAAAACTCCAAAATTATTAACGCATTTTCGACCGTCCCGTGTCTTCCATGTACTGCAAACATGCAGAATACGCATGTAAATTGCAAACAAATCTTTCCATGAACAATAAACAATGTCCATGATATGGAGGAAAAAATGCAACATCGTATTGTTAAGTTTAAATATGCAGAATATACAGGTATTTGCCAAAAAACATGCTCATGATCAGCAAAAGAAAAACCGTGATCAAAAAAAAATGACACAATATAAAAAAATGCAATATCGTCTGTGTATATTGCCGTTTTTGGAGGTTACCATCCTGTTTAACCTACATGTCATTATCGTGGGGAATACCGTGGGAAAATCCCCGATGGGCATTCTAACCCTACTTATTTAGTCCTGAAACCCCTAAAACTCCAAAGTGTTTGACGAATTTTCGACCGTCCCGTGTCTTCCATGTACTGCAAATTTGCAGAATATGCATGTAAATTGCAAACAAATCTTTCCATGAACAATAAACAATGTCATGATATGCAGAAAAATGCAACATCGTATTGTATATAAATATATAAATATGCAGAATATACGGTGATTTGCCAAAAACATGCTCATGATCAGCAAAAAAAAACAATAAAACATGACAGCAGCAAAAAATGCAATAGCGTCATCCACCGATCCAAGAACACGTCGTTTACTCACATCTAGATTTCATTTATCTATTTAAAAATCTATATAGAATTCAGAAGTTTTGGGGGCATATGCTGCGCAGGCATTCTAACCCTACAAGACAAAGTTTGGTGGCCCCGGCAAACCAAGCTTTTGGTCGGTTTTGGACTACTGTTTTTTTTTATTGGTTTTGATGAGTTTTTACAGGTTTTCGGCGGTTTTTCGACGGGTTGTGGCGAAGCTGCTTCATCAAAAATCTGGTAAAACCTGTTTTTTTCTCAGAAACTAGCTCAAAACCAGGTTTTGATACCTCGACCCGCTTTTTTCAGGGATTTGGTTGATGTAGGATATAAATAAATAAGTAAACAAATAAATAGATAATCCCTTCCTCCTAATACTAAACCCGCCCCTTAATAATAAACACGTCAGGTAGTTTTTAGTATTAGGGTGGTATTTATTATTAGGGAACCCTATTAATAAAATTAAAACCTTAATAATAAAAACTATTTTTTCCGATTCCAAAATCAATCAAATTTCTTTATATAACGCAATTAAAATATTGCCAAAAATTGGATTTCGAAGCTTCCCCCTAATATTCAAGTAAAACCCTGAATAATAAAAACTATTTTTTCCGGTTTCAAAATCAATTAAATTTCCTTATATAACGCAATTAAAATATTGCCAAAAATTGGATTTCGAAGGTTCCCCCTAATATTAAATTAAAACCCTTAATAATAAAAACTAAAAAAAATCGGACGGACCCTAATAATAAACACCCCGGGGTGAACTAGTTTTTGTATTAGGGGGCAAAATCCACAAATGGTAGCTTTATTTTGAAATTGTTTTCTAAAGGGGACCAATTAAAAATCAAATTGGCCAATCTGAATTTTTCTGAAATTGGAGATGGATGCTTGTTTTTAGTATTTGGGGGACGTTTAGTAATAGGAGAAAGGGATTATATATATATAATATATACATATATTTCAAATCTATATAAAATTCAGAGGTTTTGGAGGCCTATGCTGCGCAGGCATTCTAACCCTACAAAAAGATAAAGGTTTGGTGCCCCGGCACAACAGGTAGACAAGTTTGATCAAACAACTTTTGAACATTTTTATCCACATTTACCAGCATAATACGGACTGAAAGGTAGAATTTTAGTAGAATTTCTACGTCCATTTGGGTACGTCATTCTAACTTTCAAAGGAAAAAATTTGGTGGACAACACGACATTCTAACTTCCAGTCCGGCGGTATAATTATTAATATTTTACATACATCGTAATTTTGTATCCAAATATTATATGCATACATTCATCAATATCTATACACGATGGCCCTAGCATTGCCAAAAGCCGAGACGCAGCTCCTTGCCGCTCTTAGCGCACCGTTCGCGAGGACGAATCTGTAGACCGGCAGATTGCAGCATGTCGGGGCCACCCAACCCTTAGTGGACTAGGTGATCGTGGTGAAGAACCCCAATTTGACCCGAGTTTTAGTTGATAAAGAACCACATTTGTTTGGCAACAAACTTTTTATAATTTGGCAAAAAACTTTTTATAACCACATTTGTTTGATAAAGAACCACATTTGGAGTGGTGGGGATGTATAATAGGATGTACCCAATGTGGGCATCAGTTCCATGGTTTGCTGGAGAATTCCCCCATTTCGTTCGGTGATTGTCCCATTTAAGATGACAATTTTTAGGGAACATCCCAGTGCCATGTTTGATTACCAGAGGGTCTGTCATGAAATATGGAAGATAAATCATGGGGTTTGTGGTTGGAACATCTTCCATATCTTCCATATTTCATGACATGATGTAGCTCCATGTAGCAGAAAAACAGTCTTCATATCATGGGGTTTTCTTTCCAACATGAACAATAGTAGAAGTCCCCCACATGTTGGGAAAGTCTCTGTAGCTCCTTGGCTACGAACAGAAGAGATTCCTGGATATCCATAGCTCCACATCACTGCGACGTCACTGGAATCATGCTTTGTCATGCTTAGGATTCGGGGAATTATCCCAGAGAAGCCTTATTTCAGATTAGTGAATTATGATACTTTACCCATATATATATAATATATATATAATATATATGTATATATATATATATATGTACACATACATGTCCCCATCATAGCAGGTATTTTTAATTAGTGAAATCAGCATTTTCATTGGTGAAATCCCCATGAATCATAATAAAACATGATCAAACCTTGTAAACCACTATCAACATGTATTTTGTTGGTTAAATTCCCGTTTTTCTCTGGTTCAATCCACATTATCTTGTTGAAATCCCTACGTTCCTTGGTCTACTGCGCGAGCACGGCTCAAGGCAGTGAGGGCGGAGCGCCCAAGAGTGAACAGCGACTGCGGGCGCGCTGGGAAAGTATGGATTTTACATGGAGATCTAGAGATCTCTACATGATTTTCCCAGCTTCTCAAGCACCATTATAAATGGATATAATGGATATGATGGATATGATGGATATATAAAGATATATATATATATGTATATAGATATATTGGGATATTCATTGAAATGCTGCGGGATAATGGGAGATTTAAACATTAAGAAATGGCGATGCGGGGTTTATATAATAGGATATAATTCACCAACTTGATTTGATTTTTATCATTATTTTTTCCGGTTGTTGTATGAAAAACGGTGGGAATAACAATGCTGATACTACCCTCCGGGTATTGTATGAAACTACGTAACATAGATATATCAGACATGGAAAATCAGACATGTAAGTCATTTCCGAACGGGTTTCCGGTTTACCGGAGGGAAATGCCCTATAAAAACACTGGTTGTTGGGTTTCCAACGGTGGTCAGGAACTGAATTTCGGGCTTCCATCGGATGTAACCAGCCAAGATGTGGATTTAAGCACTAAACATGGGATTTTCCAAAACAGATCAGCGAGAAGCGAGAATCTTGGGAAACAGATGGAAACAACAGAAGATGAAGTGGAGATGGTCGTATTCCTGACGAATAATGTGGTAAACCTTGGTTGAATCTTGCACAACTGTGGCCTCTGCCCTGACCATGCTACCGACTCACTAGAAGGCTACCCCCATTTTTCCATCCAAATGCGATGATTTTTCCCTTTTGGGGGCATCAAGCCACATCTTTGCTTCCCTTTCAGGGCCTAGGGATGCATAGCAAATTTCGTAAAAGGGGCGCTGCCTTCAGGCAGCTTCAGTGTCTTCAGAAGCTACCAACGATCCGTTTCATGTTTTTTTTTTTTTAAATATATTATATTAGTATAGTATTGTATCATTTATAGACCATTAATGGATGTTCCCTGAGTTGGGTAGATCATGAGTACATATCCATCCCCCTATTTCAATCCAGTGATTCAAACTCCAGTGATTTCATGGAAGCGTTCTGAACGAAGCACCACCCCAGTTCCCGTTGTGCATGTTATAGATACACACATGTATTTACATATGCAGGTCAGAAATGGTCAGAATATATGAATATACACTAGTGTAATATACATCCAAATTAGATTCATTCGACGCAGGTCAGATTTCTTGAATCTTTTGATACAGTTAAGATCAGTTTTTTGTGTCCGTTCATTCACATGCTGTGTTGTTTGGTCAAGATGTGAGGCGGTTGAGGACCCAGCCTTCAGCCTGAAAGTTTCTCGGGATTGGAAGGCTGGACATGGAGGGATCAATGGACGATTTACCATCATTTAATGGGATATCATCGGGATTTCAATGGGATTTTCATGGGATATGAACCGGTGATTTCCCCCTTGGGATTTCAATGGTGATTTCAACGGGATTAAATCATTGGATCTCAGGGGATGATCTAATTGGCGAATTGAAGTTCTCCCCAAATGGGTGGTCAATTTTTCATAATGCTAATAGGAAATACCAGATAATTCAAATAGTAATTAGTATCACTAATGATAATAGTAAATTTAAATTACACTACTATCCAAATAGTGATAAATTTAAGCTACTGAACTGCTATTTCCCCAAGTTTTCACAGCCGGCTGGGACCAGTCGTATTGTCAGTGAAAGCCTGATAGGTCAGTCCCCGGCTCGATCCCTCGATGAGCTCGTCCATATTTTTCACATAGCCACTGCCGGAAAAAAATCACATAGCTATAGAACATCACCATACATCACCATGTTTAATAGCTAACTCATCTAAACTCATCTATGATAATCATCGAAGTCAACGGCCATGGCTTCGGCCGACAGCGAGCAAGGCGGAACTTCAACAAATCCGCGCCACAGTGGAGGTCAGTCGGGTATTTCATGGGATCCAACTTGATCCAACCAGAGATGACTGGGTGTGTTATATGGGGAATATGTGGGGATACCCCCCGGTTATATGGTTATATAATGTTATATAATGTTATTAATAGGATATTAGTAATAGGGGAATATGTGGGGAAATATAGGGCCCTTTTTTTTGTGGGGGATATGTGTGGATACCCCCACCCAAAAAAATATCCTGTCCATCCAATAGAGGGGAAACTGTGGGTTTACCATGGGGATTTTAGGTACCAACAAGCAATGGGAATGTACAACGGCGAGAGGGAATTCAAACAACACATGAAACATGTTGGCAACTGGAACATGTTGGCAACAGATACAGCATGTTAGCGACAAGACAATGATTAAACACGACCAGTACGCACATCCCATGCAAGACAACCAGCAAGAGTGAGTACAGAGCCAACGTACTCCAAGAATAATTGAATAATGTCGTAAACGCAATGCCATAAACCTACCATGACTGGGGATGATTGAAATCACACCACAAATGGTGATGACTTGGATGATTTATGACACGAAACACGCCAGGATCCGAATACCTCCGAGGAGGAAAAGATCCGTATCCTACACGAGGCGCGGGCTTTGCCTTGGAAGGTTCAGTACAGATAATTTCCATCTGAATTTGGTACATGTTGTACATTTTGTACATTGTGCAGCCATCCATTTTGGTACTTGTAGCATTTGTTTTGTACATTTTTGAACTTGTTTCAGCCATCCAGTGGATGGGTGTCTGCTTTGACCCATAAGGAAGGGTGAATAACACGCCCCTAGTGAATTCTGTGCGGTCTATCTTCTAGCTTCGGTTCAGATAATTGGTTTCTTCTTGGGTTGATCCGTACATTGCATCATTGCAAGAAGGCACGCCTCCTGATATTGTTCTTTCAGACAGCATCTTTGGCCTGGGAAAGCACAGTACCATTGAGTGATCCTGACAGACTTATTTGATCGGACCTGGAAATTTGAACCATGCCCATGGCATGTTGGGACAGCCAAGAGGGTGGTGCATTTTGTTTGTCTCGTCATGCCATCGTCACATATCGCCCCAAAAGGTGTATGTACTGGTTTCAGGCGCATGTCTAGCAACCCCCACACAGATAGAACCGTTGGACACCTGGAAAGGATGGAGGAAACATATGGAAACATCATCTACAACCTCCCAGAGTAACTTTTAGCTTTTCATATCTCTTCTATCTTTGCGGAGACCCTACAAAGTTATTTTTACATTTGTGGATCGCTTTGGGTCTTGAATTGCCATGTCTGGAACCCATGGATTCCCATGGCAAACATGGCTGGAAAATCACCAGAAGCGGATTGGACAATGACCATTGCGATTGAAGACTATGAGCGTTTGGGATAGGAAAATGTACAGGAAATCCATCTTCCACATTGGTGGATTAGTTTATATATATAGTTACTTCCAGAGTAGTAGAGCCTCACTGGCCTCTCTATCCCCAAACATGATCCAAAAATGATGATTGGCATTGGGGGCATTTTCCTACACTTGGCGAAACTTTCAGCCTTTCTGGTAAAAATTGTATGAATAGCTATTGCAAGTTCAGGGTTTTTTTCAAATGTCCCGTTCCGGAGATTTCAATCATCAACAAGTTGCCCCAATGGGATGAGACATGGCATTCCAGTACGAGGTTTCACCCAATTGCCAGCTTCAGGGTTTTCCCCCCATAAGAGTTGCCAAGAAGTTGTAGAGACGATTGTTTAGCTTGTCTGGTTAGCCTCTTGTAAACGTTTACATAGCGAACTGGAAAATCACAATTTTGAAGAGCCAGATATCAACTATTTCGATTAGGGCCATGGCTTCAATAGCAAAGTGTTAGTCATTACCAGAGGGTAGTGGCTTGAACCATTTTTTTAATTTTCCATCCTATGACGATGATCCAAACGGACGCGAATCCCCGTGAAAAGCCATTGGAATTCCATGATCATCATATTTTCCCTATGAAAACAGCCATAATTGGGGGGTATATAATGGTATATACACCATGTATCAAATCTCACTGTTGGTTAGTTCTATCTCATGAAATCCTATTTGAATCACCATAAATTAGATATTGATCCATGGCCATATCCCAACTTGCGCTGGTTGTAACTGATTCTAACACCCCCCAAATCGATATCGATAGGTGCGAAACCTGCAGGCATTGCAACAGCGGATCGATGACACAAGGGCCCAGGAGGAAGTCAAGGCGACTTACCAGTTGGCAAATGGGATGAAACCATGGGAATGTACTGGGGACACAGTGTGGGGATATGGGATATATAAGAACTACAAAAAATCATAGCCAACTTGATATGACTTTTTTATTTTTTGGGTCTTTCGCAGAGAATTCAGGGGGACCCCCCTAAAATCGATGGTTAAGCTAAGCATGTTTTCCCCCATTCCAATGGTCATTTTGAGGCCCCCCATTTTCAGACAGATCCTGATGAGTAAACCCATCCCAAGAAGAAAAGAGATTTGTAGGCTGGGACATGGGGTGTAAAACGGAGATTTCACCAACAGTAATGCGGATATTTACTACCAATAATCAACAAGAGCGTGATAGAAATAGCTGTGGATCTTTGGGTAAACTGGTGACGGGCACAAAGTTTTATACTTTCATGTTTGCAAGACCGGAAATGGAGACATGTAACTATAACTAACGAGCTAAACATGTTTTTTTTGAGGGAAATTCGTCCCATGGCTTGACAAGATTCAACCAACACAACTGGGATGTCATTCGGTAAGTTGGCAATACAAGTGGTTGGCTGTTTCAATTTTTAGCTTATTTTTTCCTTTTCCAGGGATGGTAACACCACCAGCCAGATGTGATCTTTGCTCAACAATCACCAGGATTTTACTTGCGAGAATTGAGATTCAATTAGATTTGATCAGCAAAAATGATGGCGTTGAGCAAACCAAACTGGGATTTGCTAACAAGAATGGACAGCCACCAGCAGTGTTTTTTTTCCCGGTAACAGTCACATTCACTGGGTTGAAACCAGCGTTTTATATGCGAAATGTGTTTTCTCTTTACGTTCGCCCTGGATTCATTCTAATTTTAATTGCGAATTTCTACATAATTTTAAGATTCGGGATTTCATGCTGTAGATAAAACAAAAAGCAACTGGGACTTAGTTACTCATACCGCCCTAAACGAACAAAAAAAACAAAGAACCAACCCCCCAAAACAACAAGAAACAACTACCTCAAGTTAAAATATCCCAACAAAACCATGTCCCCTCTGCTAAACTAACTAACATAGCCATAAAAAATGGTGATTTTTCCAAAAACTTCCCATCGCCCTCCCCCCGTCCCCGGTCCCCCAAGAGACAAGAGAGCCTTGCAACATCGTAACGCGGAGGCTTCGGTCCAGAAGCGCATCGAGACGCTGACGGCCGAGCGGGAACGCTGCGATACCGAGGCCTGTCACCGATCAGGATCTTGAAAGAGAAAATGATGACCATTTGGTGCATTGAAAATCACCATTTTTTTGGATTTTCCTAAGAAAATCACCAGAAAACTCAGAAAATCACCAGAAAATCCCCAAATCTCCATCAAAATCATCAAATCACTATCTGGTTGGTGGTTTGGAACATGAATTTTATTTTCCCTAATATATGGGATAATCCTTCCCATTGACTAAAATTTTTCAGGGGGGTTGAAACCACCAACCAGGAAAATGATGACCTAAGTTTTTTTTGTTGATGATGGAAAATATGATTTAGATGATTTTAGATGATTTTAGATGGACATGATCCATTTTTTGGTTGATGATAAGATGTTTTGACGTGATATGGGGAATCGAATGCCCCAAATTTCCAAATCAATGAATTAGATGATTTCTGTGGATTTATTTGGGGAATTGTATTACGCTATTAGATTTAGATGGTTGTTCTTCGATCATGATTGTCATGATTTGCCCAGAACATCCAGGGGGGGAATCTCCTTAAGTGGCCAAAGAAATGGGGTTCGGGAAAGATCATTGGCCAAGAGACTTGGTGGCAAAATCCATGGGAACATCCTGTATTTCACTGGTCAGCAGAATTGTTTAGTGGATAAATTTGATGCAAAATAGGATCAAAATAGGAGTTGAGGAGGTTTGGCGGGGGTTTGGTCAATTTTTGTTTAGTATAGCTTCATGTTTTTTTTCCTTTGCCACAGGTGGAAAATTGACGAACACAGACTGACAAGTTGGAATAAGTTGGAAATTATGTTGGATTTTTCAGGGTATCTGAGGTTCGCCCTGTGGAACCAAGCCTGTGATGCAGAGACAAGAATGAATTGCTGAGCAGTGCCCCAGTTGGCCCCTATCCTGTTGGTTTTCTCAAACGCTTCGGGCATCACAGAGGGTTTTTTGTTGCAGAGCTGTCATATGTGCAGAAATGAACCTGCAAAAGTGGCGCAAGTGGGATCTAAGATGAGTTGAGCTGCAAAAAAGATCAAGAAATATTTCGGAAAATTTGCGTCAACATGTGTCAAGCAGTAAAGAAAAAGGCTATGACCAGTAGAAGTGGATAGCCATGGATAGCCTCTGGAAACTTGTTGCCACTTTGTTATAGCTATGGAAAATCATGGCGCAACGGGAGGCGCTGAGGCTCAACGGCATGAAGGTAAAGTTAGAGGCGCAGCGGCTTGAGTGACCAGAGATAAAAACTATGTAGAGATTTTAGCCGAAAAAATCAGCGATAGACACTGATAACTTCAACAATTGAGAAGCAGATATGAATCATGAACGAAGATGTGGATTTATATAGCTTCTGTTGTAAGAAAGTAGGGCAATTCGACCAAGAAGAATGTGCTTTTGACATCTTTTGACCGTCAAGTATGTGATTTTAACAAACAAATCTGAGGACCCAGCGCCACCGAATCATTGGGGGTGCGTCCACTAAAGTAGCAAGGCTTTAGGGGAAACCATAAAGTTGAGTTTACAAAATCTGGTTTTTGGGTTTCACATGTTTTTGCTAACCATCCCCAATAGAGCGACTCATCGCATTGGGTCACAACCACATGACTGTTGCATCCGATAAAACGGCGTCAGTCAACACAGCTAGGCCAGGCTATCCACGACTAAAGGGGTGGATCATGACGCTTGGCACGGAAACACTCAGTAATCTGGTTGGACTAATCTAAGATGAAACTTGGTGTAGGGTTTGAATCTTGAACTTATTAATATATATATATATTACTGTAATATATATTACACATGAAATATGATATGATGTATTATGTGATGTGTCATGGTATTCTGGTACTTTACTATCATATATAGATTATTGTGTATATTGTTTCTCTTCCTGCGTGACAGGTCTGCTGCCGAGAGCAAAAAGAACAGATGAACTGCTTGGCGAAGGACGATGAACTCTGGGGGAAATGTCACATGAAATCTGGCGCAGATCGTGGGACAATAAAACGGGATTATAAATAGTGATAGATTGAGATACAGTGATGGGATAATATTACAAGTTATAATATGATTGGGATAAAGTGGCATACAATAGCGACAATAGCAAAAATTGCGATGATGATGACAACAATCATAGTTGCCATAGTAGTACAAGTATAGTAGTGTAACGATATGATGGGGTAAGTAAAACTCCTTCATCTACCCACAATGGGATGTAAGAATGTAAGAAGAAAGGCGAGGACCGTGGTGAATGATGCCAAAATGACATTTCAAACTCAAATTTGCCTTTAGATTCCTTTAAAATTGATTCTCCACTTGGAAATTCTCCTAAATCCTTGAAGTTTTCATCTAATTGCAGATGATTTTCCCACGCAAAACACATTGTTCTTTCCCTCCTCCTCGGAGAAGCCGCGCGCGTCGCACGTCAGGAGAACCAAAACCTGGCGGAGGAGGAACGTCAACGTCACACGGAGCTGAAGGTGGACCTGGCTTCGGAGCGAAGTGATGTGGTAAAGCCAATGCCATGGTAAACCATCCCCTATTGGTTATATAGCCCTATCGGTATATATAGCCCGGCATTGGGTTATAAAGTTGGTAATATCCAAACTGATATTGGTAGTTTTTTTTTGGGTTTATGCAATTGGATATGTAGCACTATTTTGGGAATACAATGGGATATAATGGGGAGATAGCTGAATAGAGTATAGCGACCTCACTGCGATGTCATTGGAAGGGTGATTAATAGGGGATACAGCAACTATATATGCTCAAATGGCGGGAGCGTTCAGGTTATTGCATTGTTGTATATATTTACACAGAATGGTAAACCATCCGCAACTGGGGCTTGTTATTAATTGGGTATTCCGGGTGTACCCCTAGAAGTGGGATGATGTTTATTATGACTTCCAGTCATGGTTGGTTGATGGGATGTTTATGGCAGGTTTAGCACATTCATCCGTTGCTGTTTGAGAGACATTTGGGGGTTGTTTCAACCATCAAAACGTTGAGGATGACTTTAACCAACGATGAGAAATGGACCGACGGGTTTGCCAAAAACGAATGACACCCGTGTTGGGATTGTTTTAAGCAACGAAAAATGGGAGGATGTTCACATTTTTTCACATGTTTAACAAACAGAAATTGGATTTTGAACAGTACCAGTTGTGGATGGATGGGGAAGACCCCCAGCAACCCCAAACTCGATCAGCAATTACCTGCGGATGAATCACATCCTCCATGTATTCACTAGCTTACGTTTTGGCTGATTGGGGTGAATCTAGGTAAGCATGTCACAGTATTCTTTGCCGCACATTGCTTGAATTTCGGAATCTTGGATCAATACTGTATGTTTTATTCTTTCAGAAGTGCCACATGTTTCTACCTATGGATGTAATTATGGGTCCCTCACATTTTTTTTTGTAAAAACACATTCTTTTTGCCATTTGATATCTTTTGGGTACTTTACTTCTAGCAACCCCCAGATAGACGAGTCAAATCGCAAGATCATCCAATAGGGTTAGCTTCCTCTGCGTTTTGAATCTCTCCCCGTTGGATCAATTGGGTGGCCGTCAGGAGAAGTTTCAGGCCGCCATCAAAGATGTCCAAGAGAAGATGGACGCGGAATTGGAGGCGTCGCCAATGGGACTATGGGACTTGGGGGGGGAATTCGATGAAAAAAAGACGGAGGGAGGTTTCCTAAATGAGGGTAGCCCTAAATTATAAATCATCCAGAAAAAGTTGGATTTTCATGGATTTTCCATTATAAACCATCCATTTTGGGGATACCACATTTATGGAAACCTCCATACCCCCTAAAAATGATTGGCCTCTTAGACTGCGGGGTGCACTTCCTTCAGCAAACAGCTTATTTCTGAGGGACTTATAAGATCTTATAAGATCTTATAAGTAATAATTACAGTAATGATAAGTCTACGAATCTGATCTAATTCGCCCGAAGCATAAATCCGCAGGAATGGAGTTGGGGACAGGATGGGACGGGTCAAAACTTTGAATCTTTGCGACAGCAAAACTCCTTGTGGTTGATGGGTTATATAATAATATATGGTCATGTTATATAACTGGTTTGATGCGGCTGATTATCATTTGCTATGACAAGAAGGTCAAAGATGAAGTTTTGATGAATAAACTTCGAGATACCTGGGCACAGCATTTGCATGGAATTTGCTTCAGAAGAACAGGCATCCGTCTTTTCATCTTTTTTCAAGTTCCAATCCATTCGAATCCATCAACTATACCGACTATACCGGCTATACCCGTCATCAGCTAGATATGGACCCAGTCCTTGATGGCCATGAATTTCACAATTGGATGGCCGCACCGGAATCCAATGTTCCCATCGTTGATGAATCCACTTCCATTTTCCAGGATATCATTCCTTGTTGGTAAAAAAGGGTCAAAACCATCAACATCCAAAATCCCATAAAAACCCATTGTCATCCTATTGTTATCCCATTTTTATCCTATTGTCATCCTATTGTTATCCCATTGTTATCCTATTGTTATCCTATTGTCATCCCTAGAATGAGTACTGACCATGGCACCTATGGTCACCCCATCAGAAACTCCATCCAGCGACTCCAGGTGCGGCAAGGCTTCCTGAAGGAGAACGATGACCTTCGCAGCATCTTGGCGACCAAAAAAAAGGGTGGTGCCCCTGGAGATGTTGCCGCCTAGTTATCTTATTTGGCTATTAAATCATGCAAATAATAAAGGGTATGTGTATACATATATATATATATATACACATATTAATTATGATATATATGTATATATATAGTTGATACAGTTGATATATATATATATAGTTGATACAGTTGATATATATATATAATATTATACATAAATATGGTTGAAAGACTAACAGACATAACTGGCGGCACCGCCTTGTCTCCTTCCAAGGCAAGCTGCAAAAGTTCAACGAGACTTACGAGTCCCAGGCTGCTGGTTTTGTGGGTTGAAAATGACCGGAGGCGAAGCGTGTTAAACTGATCGATTAGACAACTTGGAAAATCCAATATTTTTGATACTGTCATATATGGTTAATATATGGTCAACATATGGTAAATATATGATCAACAGTAATAATCTACAATTGTATATGGTTAATGATTGATAATGTGGTTCAAACAATGCAATTTTGCCAGCCATTTTCCTGGGATAATGATTGATAATGTGGTTCATATATACCACCTATAAACATGGTGATGACTGGGGGATGGTTTATGACATTGTTTTACCCACATTAGTAAGTTATAGTTGGTAAATGTTGATGACAGTCTGGAGAATTGACCCCTCAAAAACCTGGTAACACATGGGAATTTCATGGGCAAAAACTTGAGGTTTGTGAAATGAACTTGTGAGTCGTCCCATTTTCTGAGTTTTAAGGCTTTCCCTGGCTTTGACTATCGGGGTGTGACTTCACCCCCAGAGTTTGGCAACTTCAGTTGAGGCCTTTGCTGGTTGCGATGCCTTGCACAGCTGGGAAAGTTAAGAGTTTCTGGACAGACTTCACAGATGGAAAGAAATTCATAGAAATTCTAGCCAAGCTATGCCCAGCTATGCCCAGCTATCGCAGCGTTTTTCTTTTGTTTCAGATGAGCCACAGCTCATTGTCTTAAACCATCCCCGGATCCCCCAATATCCCGATGTTTCCTACGGACCGTCACCGGATCCGAGCTCCGTGAGCTCCGTCTCCGCTGCACGCTTTGAAAGGAAGCTCAACTGGCTGAACAGCAGGAGACCCGAGAGAAGGAGATGCAGGCCAGGATGGGACTGAGTTCCATTGGTTGACAGTTTTTTTTACGAGCAAACGAAATAGGGAACTGACACACTGGTGACCCATATATGTTTGTATATTGGTTAATATTGGTTACATATGTATAATATGTATAATCTGTATGTACTGTATATTTTTATATAATCAATCTGAATTGGTCTTATTCTGAATTCACAAACCAGCTGAAGTTAGTAGATATATAGTTGGGAAGCCGCAAATTCTTTGGTTCTTAGGCTTGCCCACCTGCAAGTTGACTTCTCCTAACTAAATGGCAAGTTTACGAAGGAAAATTATGATGAACCAATATGAACCATCGCATGATGATCATCAAATTCGGGAGTACCAGGTACTAGATTTTCAGGCAAACCCAACTGGTGCATGGTGGATAGCAACCACTGTCAAGGCTGCGACCGAGAGGCTCAAGGAGCATGAGGACGGCTGCAGTGATCAACCTGGGCAATGTTGGTTTAACCAGCCATTTAATGAGGATTTGATGGGATATAAAGGATATTTATGATATATATATACGTATATATCATGTATGTATATATATATATATGACATGATATGTATATATATATAATTATACAATCCACAATATGATTTCGGGAAATTCTGCAGGGAAGCTGGATGATTTTTGAGACAAACACCAGAGTTTCTGGTTTTGCGAGCTTCCCGTATATCAATCTATTGAGAGTATAATGGGGGTTTAACTGTTCAACTCGGTATACTATTAAACTCATTAAAGAATGGAGTTTCATCAGTTGTAAACCCAATAGGCCTTGTTGTCATGCTGTATCTGGGCACCCATGGTTAGTCAACAGAATTTGACATGGGAGAACCTCGCTTAAGTCTCCTTGACTTAGCACAGCTGCCAAGCGCGGCTCATGTTTGTTTGTTAAAATTAAGTTGTGTTGATTACCATCTGGTAATTTAACATAGCTATTGAAAATGGCCATTTATAGTGGAATTTCCCATTAAAAATGGTGATTTTCCATTGTTATGTTAGTTTACCAGAGGGTAACTCACAATGTGTCTTGGTTCAACCCCAATCTTTCTATGTCAAATTCCCCAAAAAATCCAACTGATTGCCGCCTCAATCCGCGAGGTTTCTTGCCTAAGAAGTTTGTTTTTTGCAGGTAAACAACGTATGGTATCCTAAAATATCACTTTTCCACATAAACCTCCTATTTCTGTTGGTTCAATCAGCATTTTTGGAGGTCAACCCGTTTCGGTTTCCCCGGGATGTTCTGCCTGCGGTGCAGGCCATGTGCGCAGCCTCCAAGGCCAATGCCGCACAGTTGGAGAAGCAGAACGAGGCAGAAAATTCATGGGTCATTAAATGTCCCCATTGAACATCACCCAACCATTATATAGGTATATGGTCTATAATGGCTACTATAAGGTGATGTCCAATATTCCCAAAATGGGACAGTTACCAACCCCTGAAATTCATGGGATTTTCATGGTACAGAATGGTACTAATATCCCTCTGGTAATGATAATGGTACTATCTGGGGATTATCAGTTCCAATAGCTATGGTACAGAATGGTGATATTATATACCCTCTGGTAAACATACAAAAAACTGATGGGACAATCACCATGCTATTAATGGGTAAATCAACTATTTCGACTGGGCCATGTTCAATAGCGATGTTAAATTACCAGAGGGTACTATTTGATATTATATAGTACCAGTAATTTGATGGGGATTATTGTCAGTAATTTGATGGGGATTATTGTCAGTAATATATATATATATACTGGTTGATGGTTTGGAACATGAATTTATACTGGTCCATCGCGGGGTGCAATCGCTTGTTCAACTGGGACATAATATCATCACCTCATTCAAGACATATAGCTATTATAATGGTATTGACATAAATGGTATAGGTACCATAACAACTATATAGTTGTTACCCTCTGGTAATTTAACATAGCTATTGAACGTGGCATTTTTTCATAGGAAAATCAAGTACTTCTATGGCCATTTTCAATAGCTATGTTAAATTACCAGAGGGTATTTGATGTTGTTAAGTACATTTGCTAATCAACATATATTATAATCATATTAATGCTACTTATATGGGGATATTTATACTTAATATCTACTTGTTGTTAACCATATATTATATACTATATTGATTAATTAACCAGATATATTAATATATACAATATAATATATAATATATAACTATGATATAGTTCCATTGTTAATCACTATATTATGGATCTTATTCATTCCCAACAATGGTATATTAAGATATAAGTTCAACAATATCTTGGTATATATATGATATTATATACTTGTTGTTAACCAGATATTATATACTATATTGATTAACAATGGTACTTAACAATGGTCATATATAGTTGCTAAGTACCATGATTAATGAAGATATCATAAAAGATACCTATATGGGAATATGTTTCTTAATATCGTAGTAGTGGTCTATATGATATTTATCATTATAGAATTGGTATATTATCCATTAGTAATTCTGTTAATTCTGTTTTATTGGTACTGATAATCCTAATATTGGTATAATAATCAATAAATCATGGTACTTAATCATGGTACTTAGTTATGATTGTGAGATATTTAGACTAATGGTACTATATGATATTACATGATAATAATTCCAATGGCACTTAACAATGGTACTTACTAATAGTACTTATATAACAATGGGACTTACTTGAATACTAATTAGGCATGGATTTATCAAGAACCAGCAAAAATTGGTAAAAACAGATAAGGATCAGATATGGGATGTTGACCAGTATATATCAAAAAACATCAAAAGATGGGCAACCCAATGATGCAATGGGGATTCAAGCAAGATGGGATTGATGTTTGGGGTGAGATGGGTAATAGATGAGAATATCAATGGTTCTTGAGCAGCCAACTTGGGATGTTGACCGTCGGATATGGAGTTTTTCGACAACTCTGAGAGGGGTCGATTATGAAATCTCTCCACAAATTGGGGATACCCTTTGGTAAACTAACATAGCTATTGAAAATGGCCATAGAAATAGTGAGTTTTCCCATTAAAAATGGTGATTTCCCATAGTTATGTGGCTGTTTACCAGAGGGTAAATCCCATGATCGAAGAAACCCATGGTGAAGCCCCCGCACCGCGCCGCCAGACGCTGAAAAAAACCCAATCGGTGCTCCAGAGTGACCTGCAAGGCGCCGAAAATGGCGCCGAGTCGCGAGTCGCGAGTCGCCCGGTATCAGTGGTTGATGAGTGCAACCATTTCTATTCTCAGCCATAGAAATGACTATCTATATCTCTATATCTCTATATCTCTATATCTCCATATATCTATATCTCTATATCTCTATCTCTATATCTCTATATATATATATATATCTATATATATCTATATATCTATATCTATATATCTATATATCTATATATCTATTCTCACATTCTTCAGATGGTTTAAGAAACCACCAGCAAACCATTTACAGCGTATTTGTTTGTTCAAGGGCGCATGATACTCGACTACATAGTCGGCTCGCAAGGGAAGCCTATTGAGGTCCATGAGTTTGGATCCGAATTACCGTATATAGTTTGGCCTGACATTTTGGGATCCCGCATTTTTAGACGTCACTAAGACTTTCCCAAGTGAGTTGCCCAGTGGGTCCTCCGACTTCTTTTGATGAAGCCAGGAATCTTGAAGAAGTTTGTCCGCTTCTCAGAGCATCGGGAGAAACCATCTCCACAATCGCCAAGGGAAGCTGGGTATACTTCGTTTACCACAATACAGTCAAAATCAATGGTAAGAACATGTTGAAACATGCAGAAAGCCACATGGCAACACTAGAAACGGGTCACTGTGGGTCACTTCACCTTGCACTACTCGGCAGTTTGGACAGTTTGGGCCAGTTCTTGGGCTGAACCAAATCCTTGTAGAGGAACATTATAATATTGGTGTCTTTTTTTTTTCTATTGTCACCATATGTGGATATATTTGGTGGAATAACCATCCATTAACCAGCTATTTTACGTGCCTTAGGTGCGAGGGTTTTGACTCATAGCCATTTACGATCATTTATGATCGATTTTAAATGACTCAATTTCCTACCTATTTGGCGACGACTAAAGACAGTGGAAGGAATGTGTCTGAGGGAGTTGCGGCTAAAACGGTACATAAAAGTATTTGAACTACATAATTAATTATATATTATATACGTATATATGACCGGCTGTTTTTCCCTGATGTGCCTGTGGAAAGTACCAGTCGTGAATTCACTTTTCCTTCAATCAGCAAGGGTTGACCAGCCGCATTGTTTGCTCAACACCCATAAACTGTTTGTGAATATATATATATATATTAATATAATATCATATGTATATTACTATAATATATATATATACAAGATCATATATGTATATATACATATAGTTGTGCATGATGATGTATTCCCAGCAGCAACAGGTTGGGGTTATTCCTAGGAAAACCATGAACAAACATGTCTATTGCTTGGATGACCATGGGATACGGCCTCTATAATTAATCATGGCCACAGAGCCACTTCCAAGTAGAACTGCGCCTCCAAATGTTTCTATGATTTTATTTTATCTACCCACTAAATAAATAAATAAATAATTAAATAAATAAATAGATAAGGAAATAAACAAATAAATATATATATATATGTATACATATATATGATACATATATACCCTGAAAAAACCCTGAACATTGAATCCAGCAGTTGTGGAAGATACCTTCATCCGGCTTCACGACATGTGATATCAAGGCGCATATTGATTGTGAACTGTGTAGCCTATGATTAATAATTCATGCCTGAATTCTACTCGTACCATTCTTTAGACCAAAGCTTCATATGACAATATTGAAATAGATATGATCATGATCTGTTTCCGACTTGTTTCAATGGGAATTCCAGGGTCCCAAAATGGAGGTACTGTACCATGTAAAGCCATATTTTGGGTACCCTCTGGTAATTTAACATAGCTATTGAAAATCACCATTTTTAATGGGAAAATCCACTATAAATGGCCATTTTCAATAGCTACGTTAAATTACCAGAGGGTATATCCCCTTACGTAGCCCGTACATAGGCCGTTATATATATGTTGCGTACCTCCAATCAATTGGTACCTGAAATGCTGCAAAAATTTTTCAGGACGAGTTCTCCAAGCAAGTCTCTGGCTCCAACAAGCGACATAGCTCCTTGCCGGGTCTGGTAATCGTCTGGTGATTTGAATCCCATGGTAATCCAATGGTTTAGCATCAGTCTATAAATCAATTGATATATATATATGATATACATGTATATTATATATTTTATTATTATTATTGTTATTATTCTATATCAAATTGGGTTCAAAGATTTTTTTTGATAGTGATAGTAGACCACATTTTTTTGGACAAACCCATGTTAAGCTTTGGGTTTGACATACTCATGCCCTTTCCAAGGTCCCCAACATGAATAGAGCCAACACTCAACCAAGATTTTGATTGGAGGTATTCAATATTAAGGGGTTGGGATCAACAAATTTGATATATATATATATATGCATACATGTATATATATATATATTATATATATATGATTATATATATATGTATGTATGTATTATATATATATGTTTATATATATATATGATTATATATATATGATTATATATGTATTTATGGCCGCGGCTAAGAATGTAAGGCGCCGGATCCATACCCCCGAGCGGCGATGCTTGGTGCCCCGTTTTATGCGTTATCCATACATCTCGAAGGGATATGATCCCGTTTTGAGCCAACTTAGCCATAATATGTATACACTATGGGTCATAAGTATTCACCATTGACTAGAAACATGTACAATGAATTTCCTTTGCATTGGGGTAAATATGTACCCCAATGGCTTTGTTTGACATAGGGTACCCTCAAATCCCATGGTTTGTAATGTTTTTCCTTTTAACGTTTTGCAATTATTTGGGGCATACCCAATTTTCAGACACACCCATGTAATCCCATGTATATATTATATATATATGTATACAATTATAGTTATATAATATATATATATATCAGTTATCAGAGTTTATATGTGTTTATCTAAATATATGTATATTGTATATATATATAATATACACGTATAATACTGTTCACGCATATACTTCTAATTTCATAGACCTATCACCTATCCATCGAAACTTGTACCACCAGGGATGGAGTTCCGTTCCAGCTTTCCAGGCGAATGCAAGGAAGAGATTGACTCTCTGCAAGCTCACATGGAGGCAACGTCCCTCTGTTTTCGAGCGGGAAAATCTCCGGACTTCACTGGAAATATCTGGAAACTTATTGGACAGGTGAGCTGAACCGACTTTTTAAAATCGATGGATTTTCGAGCAATGCAGGTGAAGTCTGGTTCAACATGATTGCAATTTTCCCGCCAAAAACGACTAGAGCTAGAATGACCGGAATGGGGCTTAGTAGAGCACCATTTTGAGTCACTGTATCCATACTCCAACTTCCAAAACTTCTGATTTCGAGGAGCTAGAAGCTTGAAACCTTCGAACATTTTTTTTTGTGCCCATGGTTTTTTGTTGGTGATGTGGAAGAAAATTGGTTGACGCCACGTCATTGTTGGAAAAGTCATTGCCGACTCTGGGCTCATATCCCTTTTATTTTGGGTGACGTAATAAGTGTCGTTGTTGCTGACATTCAAAGCGCTGTTGTCGCTCCCCTCTTTGGTGTCTCCAATCCACATTTGTGTTTCTGAATGTTCTCAAATCCTGATTTTGGACATTTTAGTTGCTCAATGTTGCTCATGTTCCTGATTTCTCCTGGTTTTTCATCGTTTTTTGTGGCGCGGTGCCACTGGTTTTCCATCCCCCTGAAAGTTCATCAACCTACCTGGGGGGGATTGTGACGGTTTCGACAGGACTTGGAAAAAGAGAACTCCGAACTGCGCAGCAGTGCGCGGCTGTCCGAATTGGCATCGGAACAACAGGTTCCGCATTTCTGGCTCTGGGGGAATGTGCCAAACGGGGATGGTTAGGGGATGCCGTGTCTGTCGAAAAATTGGGGATCTCCCTTAAAATGACATGATCATACTTGGATAGTATAAGATATTTCACATAAAATCACACCTGGGATTTGAAGTTTTGATCATCAGATGGTCCGGAGATGTTTTTGCTGGATACTCAGTGATGAGGTGAACTACCCCGGGAGGAAAAAGACATGGCCATGAAATGTGGGCGATTTGGAATGATTAACCAGTGGATTTGGGGTGGTTTTCCAACCATAAATTGGAGCCACTTAAGCTGAATTTCTCGAAGATTTTTGCGATTCAATCCGGAGATCTAGACTTTTGGGGGGTTAGAACCCGGACTTTTGAGGGTTTAGTCCCAAATATATATATATATATTATCATCATATCATATAAACTCAGAAAAGATGCCATATATATATATTTACAATAATCCCCTACAATATCTATCATACTATCATAATATCATATGATATAATTTTTGTTGAATGTCTAAGTACTGTACCATCCCAGAGTGGGGCTGATGAACTTGGATATCGCCCTAGAAGTGGGATGACTAGACCCCCAGTCATATATGGTTAACTCTCCGTTTGGGTTTGTCTGAAAATAGTATATCTCAAATAAACCATGAGTTATATCATTATTTTAGCCATTTCAATTGCCATACATTGGGTTCTCCTCCATTTTCTTCGGATGCACTCAACTATAATCTCAAGCTGCTTAGTTATATCATGTTATATCTCATTAAACCCTATTAAATCCCATTTATACATCGCAACTTGATACCCGCCCCGTTCGGCCAGGTGATGCAGAAGCAATGCGATGCGCTGGAAAAGCTCTGCGACAACCTGCAGAAGGAGACGGCGGAGGGAACAGATTGACGAGTCTATCTTTACTGGTTGGTGGTTTGGAACATTTTTATTTTTCCATAATATATGGGATAATCCTTTCCATTGACTTTCATATTTTTCAGAGGGGTAGGTATACCACCAACCAGCTTAGTATGAACCATCAAATTCTATGGGTACTCAGTTTGGACCCATACACATCAATCCAGGTGAAGTTTGGGGCATCATCAGAGGAGGTTTCCAATGAGGTTTCCATAGTAAAATGGGGGATTCCCAATAGCTGGATGGTTTGTAATGGAACAATCCTATGAAAAATTGATGATTTAGGGGTAATGGGTACCCCCATTTTAGGAAACTGGGATACACTGGGTATAGAAACTGGCGATGGTCGGGACTGAGACTATGACTTCTTCATCCAGGGTTATTCGCTTGCGCTATGTATATAGATATATAATATTCATGATACATCTACAAGTACTTACCATATGTTATATGGGAAGAACATGGTTCACATGAGTTTACTGTTTGTAGTTTATAAAACATATACAACTTCACGTTAAACGAATCCACAATTTTCATCAATTTCCCACATATTTTTTCAATATCAACAACTGTAACACCATGGTCTGTAGTTGTCGTCCACCGCTCCAAACAAAGCAATGTCACATTTTGTCCACCACCGAGGGGTGGCATTTATACCATTTGAATAAAAGTTAAGGGTAAATTGCCAAGTTTCTATGGATGTCATGGGGCTTTCCATGGGATAAGTTGGATTAAGCCATGTTTTTTGATGTTTTTTGGCTGTCATCAATCCATTTGAACATCGGGATTCCCATGGCGACCATAGCTGCCATACTGTCGCTCCCATCCTGGGATCCTGAGGACAATCAGAAGCTGAAAGAGCAGCTGAGAGAACGTTGAGGACAGAGATGATTCTGGTAAAAGATCTGGAAAAATCGAGTCAACCAGCTGGTGAATTCTGAGTTCTGAAGAGACATCTAGAGTCTTTAGAGCAATCTTGTGATGTTCAAGTATGTTCAAGTGCTTCAAGATATTTTAGATTTTCTGCGGTCGTAAGAAACTCCTGTGCCATGTTTCGGTGGACTTCTGAGGTTCCCCACCAAACCAGGAAACCAATGTGGCACAACAGTGGACCCTTTCCTCGTTTCAGGATAAACACATTCCTGATCTGGGTTGGTGCTTTCCACTCATTTTCCCTATACACTTTTGTTTCGGGATGTTGGTGATAACTCATCTTTTTTTCCCCCAGGGTGAATCACGTTGAAACGCGTTGAGAACACCAACAGCCCTTGCTACTGTACACGCTCATGCAGGCCTCGCTTGGACCACTGATGGCAGACAAAGTCGAGGTATGGCTATGGGTCAAAACACGTCAAAGTTTTTGGACCTGCAAAACGGCTCGGACCATAAATTATGATCATCGCGACATCATTGGAATGATTTGCCCAGACGGTTGGTTTAAGACTAAAAAGTAACCACGTGTTTGGGTCCAGACAGGCTCCCAACGTTTGACCCATAGCCAAATGACTGCATCCGAAACGATGTCTGAGCACAGGTTTCAGACAAGGAAGGCCCCGTGCCTGGTCACTCTGCGTGGTAGAGATGTAAAATGATCCTTACTTTGACATCGAGCAAACATTACAAAGACATTCTGGAGACTGTTTTGATGATGTCCATATGTTTTGAACATATTGGACATACTGACATCCATGTTGGGACAATGTTGGTATGTTGGCGCTGTCATGACATGGGAATTCAGAAATCAAAAATAGTACGACCATGTCCAAGAAACCCTTTGATTGTATGTCGGGCTGCAGGTATTGTCAGCAGATGTCAGCAGTGGCCGTAATTTCGTCGCTGGTTATACCACTTCGGCCCCTCTTGTTACTCTTCAACATATCTATCAGTTACTGTCACCCCGAAAGTAAAATGAGTTATTTTACCGACCCATAATATGAACAATCCACAATTGGCCCAGGGGGTTTAAATGAGTCATTGGAATTTTCTGGGGTATTTATCCTCCTCATTTGATTAATAACAAGTAGACCCTAGATCCACATGTGTTTATTCAAATTCGCTAGTTGATGTATAAATCAATATAAAATCATCATAAATCATGTACTCAAGTTAAGATTTCCTACCCTCTCACACATCTTTGGTGCGAATCGCAGCTTCCCATGACCAGCGCGGGCCCGTAGAGATGCACGATGGCGCCTGAATGATGGCGCCTGCGAGGAAAATGCAGCGGACTCTCATGCGGAGCTAGTCATTTTCAAGATTCTCAACCAGAATCAACTAAAATCTTGAATGGTTTTGATATACCTTTACAAACCGTAATACATATATTCTATAATATTCTTACATTATTCATACCTGCGTCTTCCAATATTATGCAAAATTAGTGCCTTTTCAGGAATTATTGCTGGCGGCATGTGTTTCTGCCTCCGAACAGATTTTGCATTTTTCTCATGCTGCATACGTTTGCCGGTTTTGAAACGGCGAAAAGCCCAACGAAACGGCGAAAACACCCGACGAAACGGCGAAAAAAATCAAGGACCCCAAATGTGGAAACTGAAACGGCGGAAAAAACTGGAAACAGCGAAAATTTAGACAACCGGCGATAATTATTGCTGTTTCGGATTTCGAGCGATAATTTGGCACAGGTTATTTATCCAGGTATTCATCTATAAATGTCTCGGCGACTGCGGAGCGCGTATGATCCACTTTTCCTTTAGTAAAACGGAAAGCACTTGGCGACGTGATGGTGGCGTCTCTGGCGCTCGTAACGGCCCCGATACAACATGCGCGCTCAGGGGCAGAAACGCCAAACGGAACCAATGTCGCAAGTAGTACAAAGGTGTCGGAGGATCCACATCCACAAGCAGGATGGGTTTTCCCTTCTAGAATCAACATGAATCAACTGTTGAACTATAGATTCTAGATGAAAGCCGTCGGTGTTTTTTTTGACCCTTTTGGCCCCTTTTTTTTGGGACAAAATCGTGCAACAGGCCACTAGGTGTGATGATCCCTGGTTGATGCTTACCCGATATGTTCATTTCTCGTTTGCTTCTTTTCTTGCTGACTTCTTGGTAGTTTGTTGGTTCGTTCGTTTGTCATGTATGGTGTGCATTCACACATAGACTTATTCTCAAACAGGGTCTATTCTCATGCAAGTCTATGGCCTCTATTGGCCACTCATTGCTTAAACCCTCTGCTTTTTGCCTAAGAAATAGTCTTTGCACATGACTTTTCGTAGGCAGACCGGCGTTCCTTGTGATATTCATGGCAACCCCCATTTTGCAGTGGCGAAAATTGCCCGACCAAACGGCGAAAACACCAGACCAATCGGCGAAAATATCCGACCACGTGGGCTGACAGTTCTCACAGCGGGATTTATTCCAACGAGCGGCGTTTTTCTGCAAGAACGGCGAACATGATATATACACACCTTTTTGCACATGCAAATCTTTGAGGTAAAGATAAACGCATTGAGAAGCTACGTTCACTATCGTTTTTGTCATGGAGAAATGGACCAAGGGCAAAATCTTTTGCAGATTTGCGTTTCCGAAAGAGACACATGACAACTTGATGGCCCCCATTTCCGCGACATCCGCCATCTCTCGATATACGTCGTGCGAAGACTGCCGGCGGTTCTCGTCGTCGAATGGTGCATTGCAGATCTTAGGTCAGTCATGGTCGGCCTCCAGAGAGATACTGCAAGTGTTTACAAAGTTTAGTTTGTTTTTGGAATATGGCACAACAGCGATAGTTGGATAATTGCCATCAATGTTTGATTACACACCTGACAGATGAGGATCTCTAGATTTTCTGGCACCGGGCTCTTCCTCTCCACCGTCGCTTTGCGCCGTAGATCTGTCTGTGTCACTGAACCTTGACATGAAAAACCAAAGACCAGGGCCCCCCGGGTCTTGTGCCCTTTTGCGACTCTTGGATACTTTTGGTGCGTTTTTTCTTTTCCAGTCTAGCTTCTTGGCTTTTTTGATCTTTTTGGGCTTTTGTGGCTTTGGTGGCTTTCGTGGCTTTCGTGGCTTTTGGTTTGTTGGCAGTATGCTGCAACTATTGTGCAGACAACCAGTGAAACATCAATTGGAAAGAATGAAGGGAGAACAATGATGTTAAGTATTAAGATTCGATAGACGTCGATAGACAAGATTCAACATGAAACAACAAGAGCGGGAATGTTGGCCCAAAGTGCTACAAAAACCACTAAGTACTTCGGTGTCAAAATGATGCACATACCATCCAGATCAGAGATTTAACATTCAATATGCTGCTGGCATTGTGCAAGCAAAAACAGAGCACTATACATCACACAGCACAAAAGGGAGAATGAGATGCGAACAGCAGAACATACAGTATACAACCAATTACAATCATGATTTCTTTTGGGGGGAGGTGCTGCGCCCTCCCTGCAATACTATACCCACCCCTCCTGCTCCGTTTTTGCCTGTACCTAAGAAAGTTCCAAAATTGCCCATTGAACACATTCTCTGTAGCTGTTTTCGTTTTCTCAAGCTTCAAACTAAACGCTTTAACACGCAGAAACGCCCTTGACTAATTCATTAAAAAACATTGAATCATAATGAATCAATCAAACCTACAGAAACTTTAAGCTTTAAGCAAACTCTAGAGCAACCCTGAATACACCCCAAACCACCTCTAAATCCACCACAGCTAAACCAACCTCAATAGATCCTGATCCTGGGCCGGTTCATCCCACCTCGACCGCGAAGGCACGTGTTGGAACACGCGCGGAGGGTTCCTTCCAAAGGATGATAGGATAAAACCGATGGTGTGATGTTAGATGATGGCGATAATGGTGATGATGGTTTTGATGATGATGATGATGATGATGTTGTTGATGATGTTGTTGATGATGTCGATGATCTAAGATGTTTTTATATACACAGAAGACCACACACACACACGTTCTTACATACAAAAACTTACCCACAGAAAACTTTTTTTCACACGGATGTTTTTACACACAC